GGGTAGGGCATGACGTAGGCTGGTCCTTGAAGGCTAAAGGGTCTCAGGGGGTTTTTGGTTTGCTGACGTGCCAGATTGCAGATGTCAATGGCACCAGGATGCTAGTGAAGGCCACTCAATGTACATTCTGTATCAGATTAGCTCTGTGCAGCTCATTGGTTTATTTGGCTTCAAGTAAGGGAAGGCTTCAGTTTTGTTTAGCTTTTTCTGCATGCTGGGCACTGCAGTGATTCACAGTCAGTGACTGAGAAGTTAAAGCGCTCTGTGGATTTATGCATTTCAGTCTCAAGCAGGCGAAGAGAACGACCAAAAGTATTCTTAAAGCAAACAAAAAATAGGACTAGAATAGAAACCTTGGCCTTTGTGGTGACAGTTTAGATTCCAATTTGTGAATAAAGTGGGGTATTTTAGTGCAGTGATGTGGCTAGCTATAAAGAAACTGCATTTTTACACACTTGGTGCCTTCAGCCATCTTTCCTTTCCCATTAAACCCGTTCTCCTTTACCATACCCAATCTAGATGATTGTCACCCTTAAAAAAGCAGAACGCTTAAACCCTTCATGGGTTGCTGGTAGAGAAATAAACCCAGAATGTTTATCTGCAGTGAAGTCTCATTAAAGTTAGGTGCAGAGAACAGAACAGTGAGCAGAGCCCTATGTAAAGCAGTTCAGAAGGGGTGATCTGTGGGATACAGAGTGTTCTCCACAAAATATGCTGAACCATTTGGACGAGACATGATTTCACATCACAGCTTCAGCAAGGGTTTTGATTGTGGCCACGGCGTTAGAGCAGCATGTGGTAAAGAGCTGATGTTTGCAATTTTTCCCCTTGGTTTTGGAGGCTTTTTTACACTTCAAGCACATTATTTCTGCCGTGCAGCCTCTCAAAACTTGTTCAGAATGGCAGAATTTGTGCTGTGGAAACCAGCCTGTAAGCTGGGGCTATCCTGCTGTCCAGGAATAGGTTGGAAGAGACTATCCAGTTCCAGCCCCCTGCCATGGGCAGGGACACCTTCCACTAGAGCAGGTTGCTCCAAGCCCCTGTGTCCAAGCTGGCCTTGAACACTGCCAGGGATGGGGCAGCCTGTTTGAATATGAGCTGCTCTGCAGCCTTTTGTATTTGCAGTGGTGTGCTGTGACTTCAGTTTCATTTTCTGTCAAGATCTTTATCCCTCTCCCCTCCAAAGCCTCATTGTTCTTTGCTCCTTGCTTATATCTTAAACCCAACCAACCCATCTGTGATGCTTTTGATGATTATGCTGCGTATCTTTGTGATTAAAGATGGTCGACACAGAAGTAAATGTTAAGTAAAGCCCTTTCTACATCCCCAGCCTGCTGGCCCGTGTTTGTCTTGTGTCAGAAAGCAGAACGAATGTATCCTGGAATCTAGCTGCCTGTTTGCACAAGCACAAATGATTAACCAGGAGTAGCAAAGGGAAGGCCAGAGATGGCTGAAGGGTGGATTTGCTAGCAGCGTTCGCTGTGACCTTCCCACCCCTTTTCTAAGGAATATATGGACATACTGCTGGTTTGGCTTGTCTTCACAATTAACTTGAGTACTAAATTGAAGGCTGTCGTTAGCTCTGATCCTCTCCACGTGTAAAAGTCCTTAATCTGAGCAAGGAGGCTCTTACCTTTAACTTGCAAAGTGTGGATGAGTGCAGTCCCAGGTGCAGATTTGCCTTCTGCTTTGCATTGGGACTGGCTGGGACCTATGGAATATTGCCATCGCTTACCTTCTGGTTTTCCTTTTTCCCCTAGCTCTCAAAACACAGCCACCTGGTTTATACACTGTGCAACAGAAACCAGTTGTAGCATCTTAGCACTGTGGGATGGGGTATGTTGTGTGTGAATAAACCCAGTGTTGATGCAGATGACTTGCAGCCATCCTTTGAGCACGGACAAGGAGGAGGAACACGCACATGCTGGCTTTGATTTTGTAGGCTGGGTCTGTTTACTCAGGGATGTTGAATGGTTCCTCACCCAGGCTCTTTTTGCCTCCTTTCCAAAAATGCTGGTCTTGCTGCAGAGGTAGGTGGTGAAGAAGCACCTTTCTGATGCAACTCTCAACTGGGTTGTTCAGACCTCGGTGCCACTTACTTTCCTTACTACACCCGTCTGTAGCTTGTTCCTGCGGCACCTCCTGAACCACATTTGGAAGCAGGGTGGACAACCGGGGGCTGGCAGAGGAACCACTCCACTCACTCAAGGTACATCTGCATTGAAGACATCCCCAGGGTGAATACTGACTTTGTAGAAGGCTCGTCCTTTCTCTACCTCCTGCCAAAAATGCTTTCACACTAGTACTTTACCCAGCTGGCTAATTTGGCCTTTGAAATTACCTCAATAATGTCAGGTACTTAAAAAAACATTCCCATCCTTTTATAAATATTACAATCTAGACGTAAAGGCATTGTTTCAGTGCTGTTTGGGACTTGTTGTATTAAGAAGAAAAAGTTCCTCAGTGCTGTGCAGCAATCCAGAACAGGAGTATAAACAAATACTGTGTCAAGCTCAAACAAGTCGGTTGACTTTGAGAAGGCAGAATGTAAATGCCCAAGTCAGGAGAATTAGTACCTTTGGTAACGTTGCAACAAATGCAGCGAGATTGCTCTTGCTGACAAGCCCTAAACCCTTTCTTGTTGAAGAGAAAGAAAAATGAAAAGAAAAAGCACTTTGGAAAGTAGGCAAAGATGGGGTTTGTTCAAAGCTTGTGTAAAGCTGTCTCCATTGCCTACAGTTCAGTTCTCCTGCACCGCCTCTGAGCCAGGGATGAAGTTAATAACCTTTTAAGCCTTTGTAGCTCCATCTACCCGAGTTCACACGTTTCAGGCTTGAAGGAGCAGCAGTCAGATCCTGCTAGCAGTCTTGCTGGAGTCCTGTTGGACAGAATGCATTTAAGAAGCAATCTGGCATCATCTCAGCTTTACAGAGCAAGGGGGGGGCTGTCTGCTCTGCCATTGGCATTGCTTCATATCCTAGTCTCCCATTGCTGACCTTTGTCACCTGAATCTTTACTGGAATTCAGAAATCTGTGGCTTTGAAGTGATAGAGCCCTTGAAAATAGTTGCTTTGCTCTATTGGGTTTAATATGCAAATAGTGGAACAGAGCCAATGGCCCATCTTGGGCAGCCTGATTCAGGAGATTGCTCCATGAGAGTTTATTTCAGCTATTAGCTGTTGCGCCAAAATTTTCCTTACAAGAAAGAGTAATGATTTTTATGTTTTTTTGCAACCTAAAATTGAGGGTTTCACAGGCTGCAACTGGAAAATTGGCAGCCGTGCTCATCTGCTGCAGACTGAAAGCCTGTGGCAGAGGGAAGAGAGTTAAATGAAGTCTACAATAATAGCTTTAGAAACTTAGGCTGCTGGTTAGCTCCAGAAAGCACACCTGAAATATAGAATAAAGGTGGTAATTATATAGTCAGACTATATGCAGGTGGTTACAGAGGGAATGCTTTTCCAGCTCAATAATGTATACTTAAAATTGGGGATAAGGAAGTAAAATGAGTTGTTTAGTTTAAAACTAAAAAGGAAAGCTCCAGCACTCACAGGAACTTCAACATTCCTTTTGGCTAATACTAGAATATACAAGTTGTGATTTTTACCTATCCTTATTCCCTGTTTTCCTGGTATTTTTCCCTCTGAAGCACTCGCAACAGGAAGAGGAAATTAAAGGTTGCTCTGTCGTGCTTCCATTGAGCAGTGGATGGTGGTTCTGCAATCCTGCTTGGTTTCAAATTGAGTTGCCACAGTCCTGCAGACTTCTCTTTTTCGGTCAGTTGTTAAGAGAGAAGCTGTCTGTGGTTATGCAGTTTTGCCACTGTAAGAAATAAGTGATCTTTAATCCATTCTAAATATAGTTTCCTGGTGTGGCTGCCTTCATTATTACTAAGACAAAGGATTTGTGTGTTTATTTCCATGGACGTCTGGGTTATATAGTGGACTCTTTGGTCTGTTTGCTTGGTATGTGGGGTGAGGCAGGTTTTGTTCTGCTGGTTCTGTGAGGTGGGGAATGTTGCTCCAGAGTTGAGAGGTGGAATTCTTGACGTGTAAAAGAAAGAACTTAAGAAGGGATTTGTTCCCATATATTTCCTACTACATCTTCACTTTCCCCAATGTAGAGTTGAGGTGAGACTTGAGTCTAAGTCAGGAACAAGGTGAGATAGAGATGAGAGGAGAAATGGTCCGTACCAGAGGGAAAGGCCGTTGGAGTATCTTCTGAGCATTCATTCTCATGCTGAAGGATCAGAACTGGGTGGGAAAGAGACTACTCAGATATAGTTAGGTCTTTTATAGTTATCTTCCTGTCTTGGATCCTGGGTTTAGGTAAGTTAGAGCTCTCATCTTTGGCTCTGTAGTTCTTTTCCCTGGCCTGTTAGAAGAGTTGAGTGGATGCTGAACAACTGGGATTGCTGAGATTGCACTGAGCAGTCCTTATGGAAAAGCAAAACTAGACTTATAGCTGGTGATAGACTGAGTGGAAATGGAGATTGATGTGAGTTTCCTGATCTAATTTTTACTTAAACTGCTGTGCTGTTGAGTAGAATTGGAGAGAGGGAAATAATGTCTCATTTGTGGCCCTTTCAAAGGAAAATCTCGATGCAATTACTTGGTTTTCGGCGTATTTTTTTCACCTGAGGCCCTGTCACACCACAAAACCTTCTTGTGTTTGCAAACTGCTCACCCTGGGACAGCAACACCACCACCAATCTGGTTTAGCATTCGTGGAACATGCAGTATAGAAAAGCATGAGGGTTTAATGCAAAGAGATGTTCATTAAATCTTTTGTGGATTGTAACAACGGAACAAAAGCAGCAGAGGCATTTTTCTCTTTATGTAAATCCATATTCCAGTCACAGATAAAGAAAACAATGCTCACATTTAATATCTGTGTATTTATTATGTATTATGATCAGGTACTATTGCAGCTGCTGTGATTGCCTGAAAGGGTTTTTTCCATGGTTTTAAGGGTTCTTTATCTGTCCTCTTGTTTTGCAGTATTATGTGCCAAGAATCTTGCAAAGAAAGATTTCTTCAGTAAGTACACCCCAATTGTATGACTTTCTGCTCTTGATCAATCAGATTTACTTGTAAGATCGTGCATCAGTGTCATGGCTCATCTATGTATGCCGTTTGTTCTGTGGTTCCATTCCTGTGGTAACACTGCCTTACTACATGAGCATGTATTACCCTGAGTTGTAACTTTAGGGTTAGAAAGACCAAGGGCTCACAAATTCGAGTTGGAAGCCTGGGTGATGAGACCACTGCTGCTTTTACAGCTCTGTGTTGGGGTTACCAAGAGCATCCATCTCAGAGCTACTCTATTTGTGAAGTGAGTAAAAGATCATGGTGCTGCAGTCTCAATATTATGCTAAGGACTGAATAAAGATGACTGCTTCTCAGCGAGCATGGGTCACTTAAGCACTGTTAAATGAAGCACCTTTAACCTCTTGTTTCCTAAAACATTCACGATTCAAGCATATGTATGACACAAGTATGTTCTCTAACTAGGAACTCAATTCTCTATTTTGTATTTACTAAAATAGTTTAGGATAACGGCAACTTTCCTTTCTTGGGTGGTGGGGGGGAAGCATGATAGCATTATCTTGGAAGAAACAACCCAGAAAGTCCGATGCTTAATAGCACCTTTTCTCTTCCACAGGACTTCCTGACCCATTTGCAAAAGTAGTTGTTGATGGGTCGGGTCAGTGCCATTCAACTGACACTGTGAAGAACACATTGGACCCCAAATGGAACCAGCATTACGATCTGTGAGTTGTTTGTAAGGTCATAAATAAACTATATTCCAGAGGTGTATCTAGCAATTGGAATGCAGGGGTTGGCACTGCAGCTTCATCTTGCATTAGCAATGGAGTCACAATTGCTGAGGACTGATTTTTGCAACAAGAAATTACCTGTTACTAAAGGAGTGGTGCTTTGCTTTTACGCGTTTGAATGTAGAAATCCTTGGGTGTTGGGTACACAGCAGAGCTGCACAGAGTAAGCTCTGCTGGAGCAGTGCAGTCCAGCTCGTGCAAAAGCTTGGCCTTGTTGTAGTGATTTATTTTCTTCAAATTATTAGAAACAGAGAGCCTAAAGTTTTGTACATTAATCAGCTTGTTGCATAGCTTTTAATGAGGCTGAGTAGTTAAATTCATGCTGCAGCAATATCAATTTAACATGCTGGGTGAAATCCTAGTGCAGTAATTCATTAATAATACCATTTCAGGCTTAAGCACTTCTGTATTTATCATAAAGCAGCAGGACCAATGTACTGAAATGTATCAGAATTTGTAGCAAATAAAGCATAAATTCTGTGGAGGAAAAATTACTCTTCTAATATACACTTTTCTAGGTATGTTGGGAAGACAGATTCCATAACCATCAGTGTATGGAACCACAAAAAAATCCACAAGAAACAGGGAGCTGGCTTCCTGGGGTGTGTCCGACTCCTCTCCAATGCCATCAGCAGGCTAAAAGATACTGGATGTAAGAACAATTCCTACCTGGTGCAATCGGGAACCTTCCGTGCCTTGTATCTGAGTAATGAATAGTATTCCCACCCGTCCCTCCCTGGTGTTTTGTTGATCTTTCCAATTCTCATTTGCAGACCAGCGTTTGGATCTATGCAAACTAAATCCCACAGATACTGATGCTGTACGAGGCCAAATAGTGGGTAAGAATCCTCTCAGCTAAACTTTCATCATCTTGGGTAAATATACTATCCAGGCAAGTGTTCTATTAAAAAAGAAACCTGTATCATTATTGCTCTGTGCCTTTTCTCTATTGTTTCTTCTGGCTTTAATGGGATTCAATTCCATAACCTGAAAATTTTCATTGTGCTCCTATGTAGGAGTTTGTTTTCTCTCAGTTGAAACAATATTAAAAAGAGGGAATGCATCTGACAAGGTTTCTGATGCAGCTCTGGAAGAGTAAATGTTACTGTGAAACTGATTGCCTTTGGACCAAGGTGACAGGCAAA